TAGGAGATAACTTCTATTACCAATGAACAGTATTCGAGATGCATAGAAATTAGGATAAAAGCTAAGAGTAAAGACAAAAGTCGATGCAGAAAGTTGTAAAATTGTATATACCTGTTGTTAGTATTGTATTTTAATGTCTGATGTGTGTGTGCTTTTGTTTTCTTTTTTGTCTCTTGACTTCTTTTGCTATTGTGTGTTTGGTTTTAAAGTGTAAAATACTCAATAAAAATTATTTTTTTTTTAAAAAAGAAAGAAATTAATGTAGGACATTTTTTTTAAAAAAAAATTGATTTATATGCTGCCCTTCTCCGGAGACTCAGGGCGGCTTACAGTGCGTTAAGCAATAGCCTTCATACTTTTGTATATTTTATACAAAGTCAGCTTATTGCCCCCACAAACTGGGTCCTCAATTTACCTACCTTAGAAAGGATGGAAGGCTGAGTCAACCTTGAGCCTGGCAAGATTCGAACTTACTTTAATTGCAGACAGTTGGTGTTAAATTACAGTGCCTTGTCTGCAGAGCTATCCAGGCTCCCAGGACATGTATTTATTAACACAAAACACCCTCTCAGAATGACTCATAAGAATTAAAACAAATCTAGTGGCCCTAAGCAAAATTAGTAGTAGCAAAATTAAAATAAAACACCAAAAAGTAGAACAGTATTTTAGATCAGTCTATAATAATAATAATATAATATAATATAATATAATATAATATAATATAATATAATATAATATAATATAATATAATATAATATAATATAATATAATATAATATAATATAATATAATATAATATAATATAATATAATATAATATAATATAATATAATATAATATATAAAGGGACGCATTGGCTCAGTGGCTAAGATGCTGAGCTTGTCGATCAGAAAGTTTGGCAGTTCAGTGGTTCGAATCCCTAGTGCCGTGTAATGGGGTGAGCTCCCGTTAGTTGTCCCAGCTTCTGCCAACTTAACAGTTCAGAAGCACGTAAAAAAATACAAATAGAAAAATAGGGACCACCTTTGGTGGGAAGGTAACAGTGTTCCATGTGCCTTTGGCCTTTAGTCATGCTGGACACATGATCATGGAGATGTCTTCAGACAGTGCTGGCTCTTTGGCTTTGAAACGGAGATGAGCACCGTCCCCTAGAGTCGGGAACGACTAGCACATATGTCCAAGGGGAACCTTTACCTTTATCTTATAATATATCTTCTTGATTCACCCTCTAAAAACAGTCTTCAGTCTTTGAAAAGACTGCATGTCTTTGCACTGATTGAGAAGGCAAGGTTTAAAAAGTCTTTAAATAATGATTTCTGGATAGCTGGTTTTATAGTGAGAAAATAGTTTAATCCTACAGAGCTTGTTCTTCTTATTTTAGGTTTGTATATTTTTTTTCCTACTTATAATTGTGGCATATTATTTCTCATATTATTACATCCATAAATTGTTTCTAGCTTAATTAAATATGTGAGGCAGATTTGATGGAAAAAGGTATGGTATTTTTCTATACAGCTACATATGCGGAAGCCATTTTGCAGTGTGTAACTAAGTATTACACATGCCCCAAACTGCATAGAGAATTCTGTATCAAGAAAGGGATGGATGATACATACAATATCAGAGATGGAATTGTGCAGATGTTAGTGCTCTTGGCTGACATGTTCTCTTAAACAGTATTAAACAATACTCTGGTTTCTCTTCAGATCGTATAAATCTTTCGCCTTTTAATACTTTGTTTTCTTGGCCACTGATTATTTTTGTGGTTTTTCTCTGATCATTATTTTTTTCTAGAATAATGTTTATGCTTCTGCCTCTAAGATTTAATCTAGCATCTGACAATCTATCATAAAATCTCAAGTTTCAAAAATCAGCTTTGGAGCATGGGAATATTATACAACAATCTCTTTCTGGAATTACATGGGATCTCCAAAGAAGTACCTAGAAGTTCAAACAGAGGACAGTTTGAATTTAATGTATATTTTGGTATTTTCTGTTGTTAAAAAAAGACAGATAAATAGAGTTCCCTTCCTACTTTCAGAAATATTTGCCTAATTTTCTTAAGTAAACACTGATTGACCATAATTGTCTATATTGGGATGTAAATTTATCACTATCAGTGATAAATTTGGCCATAGCTGATGACAGATATTTAGTGGAGATTGCAAATATACTATTCCATGTACTGTATATGTATGTATTAGTGTGTTTGCATTTCTACACACAAACACCAGCTCTCTGGATATAATGGGATATAAATCTAGAGCATTTCCTAATTTCTTAATCGATACAATACATTTCATTTGCTTCTCTTACTCTTTCATCAACTTACTCTTATGGCATACTAAATTATTTACTCATAAGTGATTTTATAATTCTAATTCAACTGTAAGGAACACACACACACTGACAAGCACAGAGTCTATGGCTTTCTTTAAATATTGTGCAACTGGCATTCAGTGTGGTCACAAAAACATTTTCACAATATTACTATCTCCTTGCATACATCTGAACACATCTGAATCAGACTAGCAGGGGTGAAATCCAGCAGGTTTTGACAGGTTCTGGAGAACCGGTAGCGGAAATTTTGAGCAGTTCAGAGAACCGGCAAATACCACCTCTGGCTGGCCCCAGAGTGGGTTGGGAATGGAGATTTTGCAATATCCTTCCCCCAGGAGTGGGGAGGGAATAGGGGATTTTGCAATATCCTTCCCCTGGAATGGGGTGGGAATGGAGATTTTGCAATATCCTTCCCCCAGGAGTGGGGAGGGATAGGGGATTTTGCAATATCCTTCCCCTGGAATGGGGTGGGAATGGAGATTTTGCAATATCCTTCCCCCAGGAGTGGGGAGGGATAGGGGATTTGCAATATCCTTCCCCTGGAATGGGGTGGGAATGGAGATTTTGCAGTATCCTTCCCCTGCCACACCCACCAAGCCATGCCCACCAAGCCACATCACACCCACCAAGCCACGCCCACAGAACCGGTAGTAAAAAAAATTTGGGTTTCACCACTGCAGACTAGATAGTGAATCAGACAAGAGATTATGGTTTTCAGGTTTATATTTCAGTTACCATGCATTATCCTTCTGCATACTCAGAACTGCAGGTTTACTAATATATCAAGTTGGGAAGTCTGATTACATATTTCCTATGGACAAATAAAATGGTATGGATCTGTGACCTCAAAAAAGTTTTGCAAAGTAGGAGGTTGTTTTGTTTATTTATATATCAAACTTCCTAACTTCATACATAGAGGTTAAAAATAAATCCCAACATAAGAATTTAAGGACAAGATAATTGCTTTAAGAGTCTTGGCTGAGAAGTTACAAATATGAAAAGTAAGCACACAGTCACTGATAACAATTATGAATTACCATTAGAGAAGAGGATGCGACGTGCTGCAACATAGACATTGAAAATATGGATTTAAAAATGGCTTAAGGCTAAATAGGGAAAATGTGAAACTAAGCAAAAGACACTTAGCTACTTCTGATTTCCAGTACAGGTATTCCTGTACTGGAAATACATGGGTTTCAAATTTTTTTACTATCGGTTCTGTGGGTGTGGTTTGGTGGGTGTGGCATGGCTTGGTGGGCGTGGCATGGTGGGCATGGCAGAGGAAGGATACTGTAAAATTCCCATATCCACCCCACTCCAGGGGAAGGTTACTGCAAAATCCCCATTTCCTCCCGATCAGCTGGGACTCGGGAGGCAGAGAATAGATGGGGGTGGGGCTAGTCAGAATTTTTACTACTGGTTCTTCGAACTACTCAAAATTTCCGCTACCAGTTCTCCAGAACTGGTCAGAACCTGCTGAAACCCACCTCTGGTATTCCTCAATTCACAACCACAACTGAGTCCAAAAGTTATGTTGCTAATTAAGACATCTGTTAAGTGAGTTTTGCCCCATTTTACAACCTTCTTTGCCACAGTAGTTAAGTGAATCTCTGCAGGTATTAAGTTAGTAACAGGTTGTTAAGTGAATCTGGCTTCCCCGCTTTTGACTTCGCTTGTCAAAAGGTCACGAAACTTGATCATGTGACTCCAGGATACTGCAATTGTCATAAATGTGAACCAGTTGCCAAGGATCCGAATTTTGATTACATGACCAAGGGGAAGCTGCAACAGTTGTAAGTGTGAAAAGTCATAAGTCACTTTTTTCAGCGCTGTTGTAACTTTGAACAATCACTAGATGAATTGTTGTAAATCAAGGGCTATTGTACCTTCCTCCATTGGTTCCAACATATTTCCAAACTTCATTTGGAATTTAGAAATGTATGGGTAAGTCTCCCAAACTTTTATAGGAGTAATTCTTTATGGATAAAATATCACATATAGCTTTCATAACTCTATCATAATTGTATCATTCTCTTTCTATCTCTCTCATCTCTCTCTCTCTCTCCCCCTCCCCCCTCTCATCCATCCATCTATCTATCTATCTATCTATCTATCTATCTATCTATCTATCTATCTATCTATCTATCTATCTATCATCTATCATCTATCCCTATTGCCACCTACCATTTCTATCATCTCTCTCTCTCTCTTTCTCTGTCTCTCTCTCATCATCTCTCATCTATTATTTATCATCTCTCATCTATATGACATCTATATATCATGTATATACAGTATACGGATTGATTGAATATGTATCATCAAGTTAATGTCAACTCTTAGTGGCCATGTAGATTTTCTCCAGGAATTTGTGTGTATATAATCTTTCTTTCTTTCTTTCTTTCTTTCTTTCTTTCTTTCTTTCTTTCTTTTTCTTTCTTTCTTTCTTTCTTTCTTTCTTTCTTGCTTGCTTGCTTGCTTGCTTGCTTGCTTGCTTTCTTTCTTTCTTTCTTTCTTTTCTTTCTTTCTTTCTTTCTTTCTTTCTTTCTTTCTTTCTTTCTTTCTCTCTCTCTCTCTCTCTCTCTTTCTTTCTTTCTCGGTTTGTTATCAGCTAAATGAATGATCTCAGATTTTAATAATCAATTATGAAAGAATGTATACTTACTTGCCCAGTGCAAAGCATTCCATCCTAACAGTGGATCCCTTAGCAGCAGTAACTGTGAATGGAAAATGGATCTCAATTTTTGGTTCATATTCCCCCATCACTCCTGGAAAACAAAGAAAGATCTTTATGAGTAAAATAGCCATCGCTGAAGTGAGATCGTCCAATAGCTAGAGAAGAATGATATGATTATGAAGGAAAATGGTTCCAATTAGGGATACATCCCCAATGTAATCTAAACAGTTAGGATTTTACAATACCACCACAGTAGCATTTTATTTTTAAAGGAGCAAAAATTTATTTCTTATGCTAAATGTTCCAAACTAATGGTCAGAATGATGGATATACTATATGACTGTTCAGTACTTGGATGATTTGTGGAATCTTTTCCCTTTAATAAAAATGAGTTAAATCTGTAATAAGCAACCCCTCCTTTGACACAGTAGATTTTTTTTATTGTTCCTCAAAATAATACAATCACTTAAAATATATTAAGATAGCAGTTTCATGAACATTTAGGAAGTTCACTGTTCTTTTCTGTGCCCAATAACAAAAATAGTATGGTTAGATGATGACATCCATTAACATGTTACGATGGTGAAATTGTACAACCAATAATATCTTTAACAAAAAGAATAGGAAGATATATGAAAACAATATGATTGATTGATTGATGAAGTGCCTTCAAGTTGGTGTTGACTCTTAGTGATTGCCTACACAGATTCTTTCCAGACTGATTGGTCTTCAGTTTTACTTTGGCATGCTTAAAAATTGTCAAGGTTTTATATAATTGAAGTAAATAAATAAAATACAAATGTTATTTTAAAAATATAAAACTGCATACAATTTGGCTTTGTAAAACTAATATGTATCAAATGTAAAATCGTAATTGGTTTCTTATATCTCAAAGATCAATTTTAGTACCTAAGGTTAACTACTTACTGCTTATAATATAAATATATTTGTGTGTGTGTGTGTTTATAGGAATCTCTGTTTGTATGTTTGCTTCTGTCAGTTCTGAATCTCTTTCTTTGAATTTGAGGGGATCACTTTTAATATTAAAAAAGAGAGAAAAAGGGGTCTCTACCTCAAGCATGAATTTGGAAAACTCTAGGATGCCTCTCCTTTCCATGTGAAATAGCTCCTTTAGCTGCAAATTTTCCTTAATACATGCTTTATACAAACAGCTACCACCAAAGAGAGAAAAAATAAACCCACGTTCTTTTGTAAAGAAGAGAACTTTTGAAAAAGGGCTACATTGGAAACATGTTAGACTTTATATTAGTTTATTATTGTCATATGGCACTTTTTATTCTTACCAACAAACAAGATACACTTTTAACTCATTATTTTCATTGGCTCCATTAGACTTGATCATTCACATATAAAAAGAAGAAATGGTTTAAATATTCTTTTACTCCAATATCTAAGGTGCTCCTACAAAGATGAGAGGGTCAACCAAATAATCAAAGAGAGAAGCAACCTAGAAGTAAGGAGAAATTTCCTAACAGTGAGAATAATTAATCAGTGGAACAGCTTGCCTTCAGAAGTTGTGGGTCCTCCATTCCAGGAGGCTTTTAAGAAGAGTCTGGACAGCCAGTTCTCTGGAATGGTCATTGATATAGGGCCGTGATGGCGAATCTATGGCACAAGTGCCCAAAGTGGCATGGGAAGACATGTCGCCTGGCACATGTGGCCTTGCCTGTTTGTCCTCCGGGTTTCTGGCGTGCATGCGTGCGTGACAATCAGCTGTCCTTTGCACATGCAGCAGTGCCAAAAACCGGCATGTGCATGCGCACCGGCCAGCTGATCATCAGGCATGCGCTAGAACCCAGAAGTTTGGCTTTTCCAGAGCGTGGCCCTGACGAACGCGCACACGGACAATATTTCCGTGTGACCTTCTCGGCACTCGGTGCCTAAAAGGTTCCTTTTAGTATAGGGTCTCCTGCTCGAGCAGGTCCCTTATAACTATGTTCTTCTGTTTTGTTTTGTTTTGTCTTGTCTTGTCTTGTCTTGTCTTGTCTTGTCTTGTCTTGTCTTCTTGTCTTGTCTTGTCTTGTCTTGTCTTGTCTTGTCTTGTCTTGTCTTGTCTTGTCTTGTCTTGTCTTGTCTTGTCTTGTCTTGTCTTGTCTTGTCTTGTCTTGTCTTGTCTTGTCTTGTCTTGTCTTGTCTTGTCTTGTCTTGTCTTGTCTTGTCTTGTCTTGTCTTGTCTTGTCTTGTGTCTTGTCTTGTCTTGTCTTGTCTTGTCTTGTCTTGTCTTGTCTTGTTCTGTCTGTTAAACACCTCTTCCATGCTTTCATCTCCACAACCCCTTCCCATATTCCAAAAACATGTTTGCCACACCTCATGCTTCAACCCAGACTTTTCATCAAACAAACAAACAAAAAAAAAAAACCCAATCAACCTTTTCCATTGCTCTTTCCTTCAAATTTCTGGTGACTATTTTGGTGAAGCACAAAAACATTTTCCTCCTAAACTCTTTGGATGGTCATAATGTCTATGTCTCCTCTATACTGCATGCAGGGTTCGCTGCCCTCATTCAGCTGTAAGTTGTTCTGATGATCTGTTACAACCAGTTAGCCCAGAATGAGTTATGAAAATGAGAAAAAGGTACATTCCCAGAGGTGGCTTATGCTTTGTGCAAAATGGGGTGTCTCAGACTTTTCTCCATAATAAAGGTCAGACAGGGCCAAACCAGCGGTGAAATCCTCTGAAGTCTGCTCCCAGTTCTGTGAGTCTTCTACCGAGCGCGCGCTTCGCACAGTGCTAAAAAAGGAACATTTTGAAGCCTTCTGATTCTGCAAAGGTAAGTAGAACAGCAAGGGGGGGGAATCCGCTGCACCACGTGATTTAGATTAGTAGAAAGCAGGAAATCTGATGATATATTATATTTATTTATATCTATATTTATAATATATTTATATTATAGCTAATATAAATCGCGTGTCACAGCTGATCGTCGCCCAGCTGATTGTTGGAAATACCAGTTCGCCTGAATCGGTAACATTTGTTACTACTGGTTCAGGAGAACTGGTCTGAACCGGTAGCATTTCACCCCTGGGCCAAACCTTTTTCTTTATCAGTAGAAAGTCAAATGTCCATTACTTCACAGCTTATAATGAGAAACTTATTTGGTGCATTAGAGATGGCCTGTCCACACGTAATGCACGCTGTTCATAAAGAGATCAGTGGGTTCATGAATGGCAGGATATGACACGTTAGCCCCAACTCCACTATAGATCTCATGCCAAGTTTTCAGGGAATGCTGTCAAGACAGTTTCTTAGTTACAAAGCTTACAAGTGGAGAGGTAAACAAATGTTTAATTTTCTACCTGCCACCATGCCTGGAAATCTGCTGCATATTGGTATTTGGGAGGATGTAACTGAGCATCCTCCCAAATACCAATATGATAAGGGATGTGGTGGCTCAGTGGCTAAGACGCTGAGCTTGTCGATCAGAAAGGTCAGCGGTTCAGCGGTTCGAATCTATTTCAAGAGCACTAAGATACCCTTCCTGGCACCATCCTTTTCTTTTCAAGACTTAACATTTCCACTCCCTAGAATTTATATTCCTAGGACTGAGTTTCAACTCCCCTGGTCATCCTCATTCTCCTCCTTTGAACCTGTTTCTGTTCTTTGAATCTTTCTTATAATATTGGTGCCGAGAGCTTCCATGTAGTAGTCCCAGACCTAGAGATACACACGGTAAGCATTATTAGTTAGGTGGATGTAACTCACTTGATCGTTTACAATCTGCTCACTATTACTTGGACTTTTGCACCACCTGTAGTGTGCTATCACAGTGTTTCATCCCTGTAGGGAGAGTTATTGCTCCATGCTGCCAGGTAATCTTAATCTCTAACAAGCATACTCTAAAAATAATGGGGAAATGCAGAATTAAACTTTGCAACCCAAGAGGTCTATCAGTTGGAATTTATTATTGTGGGAGGGGAGGTCTTGAAACCTCTGCTGGGAAGCAAAACAATGCAGCCCATGAAATTGATTGCATTACGATATCATAATATCTTGCATGTGGCGCAAACTAATGAGCACTGTCATGTGGCTGCTGGGACTATGGAGACACTACGGCAAGAGTCTGAAAATGTCTTTCAGGGAAGGACATTTGGTAGGAAAACTTAAACTTGACATATATTCGAGCGTGAAACCTTCCTAATGGTTTAGATTCCTAAAAGGAGGAGGAGGAAGAACCATTAAAGCAGGAAATAGATTATAATTCTGAGGGACACCAAAACAACATGGATTAGTAACTCGGTTACAGGGTTTAGACTCTCTGAAAAACTATCCTTCTGAATAGACCCCCAAATCTTTGAACAGATACTATAGCAGAATCACTTTTCACTAGCTATCATGTGGCATTGTTCCCTCTTGGGAAAAAAAAAATATTTTTTTTCATTATTTGACATTTGACAAAAGTGGGTTGAACAAGAAGACAAGCTACTTTGGCAAAGCCTTTTGGCTAATAAACACAAACTTGTAGTCAACATCCACAGCTTCTGAAATTTTCCAATATGGAGAATCAAAAGCTAACAACATAAGAGTATTTGCTGATGATCTCTTTCTTACTGGGGCAGGATATTTTGAAGCTAAAATAAGGGACTTGTTATTAGCAATAGCTAACACTGTCACCTAAAGGTTTTTTTGCTGTTAGTTGCATTTTTAATACTCAAAGTTTAAATTTGTTTTAAATTGATTGGGTTTTTAATTTGTCTGGGCCAAACTATTTAATTCGATTTTATTTCTGCTTTTAAAATTTTGTATATATGTATTTTATTGTTGGCTGTTCACCGCCCTGAGTCCTTCGGGAGTAGGGCGGTATATAAATAAAATAAAAGTAAAGTAAAAGTAAAGTAGTTGCAAAGTTGTGTCCGACCCATCGCGACCCCATGGTTCTCCTCCTCCAGGCGTTCCTGTCCTCTGGAGTCCATTTAAGCTCATGCCTACTGCTTCAGTGACTCCATCCAGCTACCTCATTCTCTCACCTAAAGTTAAGCCAGCTAATAAAATAAATTTGACTTTAAATTTGACCTAAAGTACTTTCTACTTGAAACAAAGAGAACTGGCAGAGAACCAAGCAGAGCTAAAGAG